GGAAAAGGCACAAGTTTCATGTTTACCTTACAGTTTGAACTACAATTCTTTCTTTACAATATGAGATATTATTTTATATTTTAAAAATCCAGCAACTTCTAAGTAAATTTTTTTTTTTTTTTTTTTTTTTGTCTTTTTTGTGACCGGCAAGGAGATCGCAACCCTTGGCTTGGTGTCGCCCGCACCGCGCTCAGCCAGTGAGCGCACAGGTCATCCCTATATAGGATCCGAACCCGCGGCGGGAGTGCCGCTGCGCTCCCAGCGCTGCACTCTCCCGAGTGCGCCACAGCTCGGCCCTAAATCACATTTTTAATGAGCATCACACCATTCTTTTAAAACCAAAAATTTACTCATGTCCTCCATGTTCAGCTACCTAAAACTTTTGATTCACAGCTGCAACTTCTGAGGACGTGTGATATACATGAGATCTGTGATAACCAATAGGAAACTGGTACTTCCCTGTGAGCAGGGCCAGTCTTACTCTAGCAGGGCACTTGACATGGGCCTGGCAAGGCCACAAGCACTGTACTTGCTGCAGGGCAGGATTTGCAAGAAGAACAACACTGTAATGAAAAAGGGAAAGACCCCAAATGCTAGAGTCAATTCCTACCTTTTTCCTCTGGATGGAAGTAGAGGGTAGAAGACTTGAAGAATGATGTAGGGTCCCAAAACACAGCAGGAGCTCACTCTTGGTGTTGAACTTTGGGGGATAACAGTGAATGGGCATGTGGCTAGAATATAGCAATGGCAACTGTTCTCATTTTCAAAAAGAGAGGAATGATAAATTCTGGAAACAGAAATATAAGATGGATGATCTAGATCAATTGACATCTGATTGACGTCATATCCCCAAAGTGCTAAAGTAATGGATTTTGTGTCGACCTAAAGTGAATTACAGAATAGTAAGCTCTGGAGGAGCTCTGGTTTTGGATGACAACATGTGTGGAGACCATTTCTTACTCATCTTTGCATCCCATCTCAGTGTTTGGGATGTTCCTGGAACAGAACAGGCACTTGAGAAATGTGTGTTGAATAAATGAATGTGTGGTTGAAAGAATGAATGAGTAAATGAACGAATGGACAAAAACATAGATGCCTTCGTTAGTGAATAAGTATATGATACAAATGTTGGGCTAGAGAGAGCAAATGCATCATGTAACAATCATTTAAAGTGTTATGCTAAGCTCTGAGTATACTTAAACAGGCACAA